TTATCAATGGAACAGTTAATCTTGGTAATGAAAGTGCTGCTGGCGCTGTTGATGGGAAGAGAGAGAGAGCTGAGCTGACAGCCTAAGCACAGCCCCCCCCCCCCCAAGGCAAAAATGAAAGTTAATCAGGGTCCTTTCCTCCCTGCCCCCCAAATCCAGCTCAGGTGAGCCTCCTCTGAGCCCCCACCACCTCTGCCCTCCTCTACTGGGGCATTTACCCAATNGTAATGAAAGTGCTGCTGGCGCTGTTGATGGGAAGAGAGAGAGAGCTGAGCTGACAGCCTAAGCACAGCCCCCCCCCCAGCAAGGCACTCAAGATGCACAGCAGGGGTCCTTTCCTCCCTGCCCCCCAAATCCAGCTCAGGTGAGCCTCCTCTGAGCCCCCACCACCTCTGCCCTCCTCTACTGGGGCATTTACCCAATGAGCTGAAACCATAGGGCAGCACCCTATCTTTCTCAGCTTTTTACTCCTCAGCCCAGCAGCATGGACCACGCGTCCAGAGCCTGCTGAACAATTAACTCATTGTTAGCCACAGCACTTCAAGTCATCCCCCCTCCCCCTCATCAGCCTAAAGATCATGTGCCCCACTCAGAAGAGAGAAGCAGCCAGCAAGCCCCACTCACTGCAAATCTCACATCCTCATGACAAAGCGGCTGGCATCCCAGCAGCCTCTGCTTCAGCATGGGCAGTGACAGGAAGTCCACTGCCTCCCAAGGCATTCCACTTGCTGGCAGCTGAAATGGTTTGAAAGCTGCTCCTCAAGCCAGGCAAAATCTGTCACTGCCGTGGGAGGGGCGAGGCAAGGACAGAGCTCTCTTTACCTCACTGGCTGACATGCAATCCCCTCCATCCAGTTCCAAAGTGTAACTGGGTCCCCTACTGTCACCAGTGCAGTCAGCCAGGCCCTGCTGCTCAGAGGTTAAAGGCAGAGCCCGGAGTCCACTCAGGGCGCCGGCTCTGCACATGCTAGTTGTGCAGCCTCTGCAACTATGGCTTCTTGGCTTCTCGTCGGTCACAGGAAGGTGCTGGTGCCTGATGGGCCGCTATGAGGAGTAACCTGTTACATATTAGTTAAGGATCTTAGCTGAAAGGGTCAGAAACAAGCCCAGAGCCAGCTTAGCAGAAAGACAAGTTCTGTGGCTTTTGTGTAGCTGGACTTGAAAGAAAATGGATCCCAGGAACTTGAATGCCCTCAGGCCTCTCCCTCTGCTGCGTTCTGCCTCTGCCTCTCTCAACGTGACTTCACTGTTTAGGACAGGTTCTCTGGAACGACCAGCTCTACCACAGAGAATCTGTTCCCTCGGTACCAATCGGAAAACACCCACAGGCAAACGGTGCCCGTGCCTGCAGGCTGGGTGGCTCATTATCTTTGCCAGCCACACTGGAGCCCAAGGCTGGACAGAGGTGGGAAGGAGTAATCTGTGTAATCGCATTTTTCAGACGACAGTGGAAAAGACTCCCAGGCAAACAAAATAACTGATGTCCTCTGAGTGATTTGGACCGATATTATAACAATTTCATCGAGTGGTCTCCAGTGCAGATTCCACAAATCGGGTATACTACAAAAACAATTGAGGGGACCCACAGAGTTCTTAACCTTTTATTTTGCTAACTTCAAAGCTTTTTTAAAAGCCATAGTCACTATCATTTAACAGAAGAACCTATCTACACCAAAGAAGTTAGAAGGACATAACCTCAGAATAAAGGACAATCCTCTAAAGCAAATCAATATAGCTTTTATGGAAAACAGCTGCGTTTTTCTTCATTTTCTCAACTTGACCAAGGGCTGGTAAAGGCTTCATCCCGATCTGATGGCTGCCAGGCAGTGGTTGGAATCTGGGAACCACTGATCCAGGTCACAATCTCTTCCTGCCTAATGGCAGCGTGGCATTTGCCCCAGGCTGGCTGCACCCAGGTGCACTACCGCTCCGGCACGTTCCCCATCTAGCAGAGCCAGACACCCTGGAGTACACACATGATCACTGAGCTGACCCAGCAGCCATCAAACAAGAGATGTAAGCAGTCTACAGTACTCACTCTTAACAAGTATCTGCTGACACTGACACACACACACACACACACACACACACACACACACACACACACACTTTGAAGTTCAGACTCTCCCTATTTTCAAAAACTGGGGCAATTTTACACGTATACAACCATTAAGAGATGAGATTCACATAATGATAGGAACATGACAAGAAAGTCCAGGCAAAGGCTAGTGGCTTCAATTGTGCACTGTATTTCCATTCCAGGCCCAGACATGCTTTTCTTGAGCAGTGTGTTTGGGAAAGAACAGAGGCAGTGCTGCATAAAATAACAGTCTTCCTCTTACTGCTAAATCAGGGAGCTGGTCTGTCTGTGTGTGTGCGTGGCTATGGGAGCAATTGAAGCAGGTGGTCTGAGGCGTCCTGTCATCGCCGCTCACTCAACATCTCAGTGCATGCTATGCCAGGCCTTAGGGCCACAAATCTGACTTAGGTACAATCTCCACCTTAAGGGGCTTCCTGAGCCGGGCAAGTTGAAAATGACTAATGTAAACCACAATCTAAATTTAATTACTAGCCAGTTTCTTCTGTGTTCCCTGCTCAATAAAAGCTGAAGATCATTTTAAATTTTGCCTTGTTAAGTTCTAGCAGAGCACTCTGTAACTGCACACAAATAAACAATTGATTTTGTGTTCTAATTTTCATCTGCGTATTGAATTAAAAGTTCAAACTTTGGGCAACTGAAGTAGGATATCCTTGAACCTAAGGCATGATGCCAACCGAAGCCTAACATGCAACGCTGTCTCTGAACAATTCCTTCTTGTTCCTTGCGCCTGTGGAAAGCCACAGGTGACCTGGCCAAGCTTTCTCTTAGTTTCTGACTCATGAAGGCCAGACCATCAATGCCTCCCTCACTCTCACCTGCCCTACCCATTTCATGGGTAAGGTCGCAGCTGCAGACCAACGCAGCACCAGGAGTTCTAGTGGGAGTCAGAGACGCGACAAGAGAGGGGCAGCAGGAACTAGAGACCGTGACGGGGGGGCCAGACAGAAAGACAGCGGGAAGAGTGGGGGAAGGTCAGGATGAGAAGTTAAGAACAGAAGGGGCTGGAAGGAAGGCAAAAGGTGCACTAATGAAGGGTTGGCTAAATGTTCTGTAAGGAATAGGTTAGGTGGAACTAGAATGCTGGGGGCCCAGAGCCCACGTGTATGCAAATACAGAGCCAACGCAAGAAAAATTCACACAGGCCAGAAGATCTAGATTTGGCTGCGATTTCTAGGAAAAGTGAACCATTTACAGTCAGGAAGTGGGTTTACATCTTCCCCCAGAAAACTGACTATTTAGTAGAAAGGTACGTTTTTAGTTAATTCTATAGAACAGATAATCCTTCCATGTAAAGTTCAAGTTTACTGATGTTAACACTTTTCATGAGCATATCTTAAACATAAAAGTTAATTTTAGAAAATCACGCACTACCATGTGTAGCTAAGAGCATGTCGCTTATATTAGTGTCCAATCATCATAGCAGAAGGGGAGAATCAAAGCCTAAGAACGGGCCTGTTCAGACAGAGTAAAGGAAGCCAGAGTTCAATGGCTCACAAGCACTCATTCAAGGTGAGAACTATTTCCACAGCCGGCTTTTAAACGCCTGGAATGACTAAGACTGAAACACAGCACACCCAGGGAGAGAAAGTTACTGAGTAATGTTATTGTTCACTCTGAGGAAAAGTACGAAGGATTACCTAGCTCACACTGCTTGGGTACAAAGCATTAACAACATGGAGGGACAAAATTTTAACTAACTCCCATAATAAAGTTTACAACAACTTTTAAATTGTGGGTCTAGAATATGGAACCACAGATTGATGTTTTTAATGTGACTGTTCCTACTTAATATTTAACATTTTATAGCACAAAGTGTAATGGTTCTCTATTTGTTAAATGACTACCTAAAAAGGTCTATTCTTTATACTAGACTTAGTACTAAGTAATGACTGAGATTTTTAAATGTTGACCATAGCCATACAAACTGGTATTTGATTACATTTCAGGTTCAAAACACGCTTTCCTAAGTATCTGGCTACTTCCCCCAAATCAGAGTAAACAACTGACTTTTCCTAATTATTACACAATTGTTATACAATTCAAAATACCAATCAAATATTTCATATGTTTTAAACTACTACCTACCACCAATTCCTACCTCTACCTCTAAAGTAAATTTGGTTCTAACCCAGTGATTCTCCACAGGGAGGAAATTTTGCCCAGGGGGTAGCGGGGGCAGTTTTGGCAAATGCTGGAGACATCTTGGTTGTCGCAGCTAAGAGGTGGAAGGGGGTGCTACTGGCATCTAGTGGGTGGAGGCCGGGGATGCTGCTGGACATCCTACAATGCACAGAACAGCCCCCTAAAACACAGAATTACCAGCCCAAAATGTCAATAGTGCCTCTGCTGGGAAGTGCCTTGCCTTTCTAAGCTGAAACAAGTCAATTTGCAAATACAGCTGACACCTTCAAAAAACAATTGCCAAGTAAGTAACTCAAAGTTCACTAAGCTTTGTTATTGGTCCAGAGACCCAGACACAATAAAAGTCGCTTTTTATACTATTAAAATGATGATTTGACTACTAATCATTAATGCACGAAGTTGCAGACAGGCATGAAGGGCTGAGTACTTTCACTACCTAAGCAACTGGAGATTGCTTTAAAAAAGAACATTTCAGGAGGGAAAAAAAAGGGGGGGGGGGAAAGGAGGTAGTGATATTCTTGACAATTTTCTATAATGCTTAAATTTTCAAGGACAAACACCAATTAATCATTACTTTTTCATACTGTTGTTTCATTCTAACCAACTTTTTTTTATTGCCCCCTCAGTCGTTAAGCCTTTAACTCGATAAAGTTTAAAGTAACTAGAGAAGGAAAGTTAACCACATGGTATAATCAGTAGAGCAATCTTAAACCAAAACGTATTACTAAAAGTATCTGTTAGAAGCACTAATGTTTACCTGGCAAAAGGACTGGCTCCAGTTTTTTAATCTTCGGTTCCGAATTAATCTTATCATCCGTCTGAAACACATTAGCAAAATAAGTCAAAATCAAAATTCCCCCCCCCCGTGACATACCAAAGCAAATTTTGTTTTCTAAGTGATGACATATGCGACAGACACATATACCCCCCACACTTAAATTCTTTCACATTTTTACCAAGCTTTTTAAAAGATCTGCTCGTTATCCACTTGGGAGTCTGACAATAAAATATCAAAACGGCCCATGCTGAGTCCAGGTGTTCACATTTCACGACAGACAGGTAACCCCCTCTAGCAGCTGCCCACAAGCCACACTGGCGGTTACAGTGGGGACCGTCGCCAGGCTAGCAAACCCAGCTCCGAACCTCCCTTGGGTGACTCGACGCGGCAAAACGACGGACCACGGGTGTCCGGGCGCAGAATGGCTGCGACGGAGTTTTACAAGTTTCTCCCGAGCCGGTGGGGACCCCCGAGCAGGCGCGTTTCCCCGCGCCCCGGCTCAGGCACCCGCGCGGCCGGGGACCGGGAGACGACGGCGGCCTCCCGGGGCTCCCCCGCTCCTCTGGGCCGGCCCGGCGGCTCCACGGAACCGCCAAGGGCAGGGGCACTGGCGGGGAGGGCGTTGTTTACCTGGGGCGGCGGCAGGAGGTAGGACCTGAAGGTGGGTCTGGGCGGCTTGAGGGAGAACATGGTGCCGCCGCCTCGTCGCCCCGGCCGGCTCGCAATCCGGGCCCCGCCGCGGGCCAGCGGCAGCGCTGACGCCTCCCGACGCCCGCAGGCTTGGAGCTCCCCGCGCGGTCGCCCAGGCCCCGTCTGCAGCCAGGCGGGCCGGGCGGACCGACGGGCGGGGACGCGGCGGAGCGCCCGCCCGCGCGGGGAGGAGCCGGGGCAGAGGGGCCGACTCGCGCGCCGGGG